CCCCAGTATCACATTTTTAAAACCTAATTCACAAAAGTAAGTGACAACTCTAGGGAAGGTAGGGCAAGTTTGTAAAAAGTTACAAATAGTATAAATAATTTTATTATTTCATAGTCTTGATTTCTATGAAATTTAAGCATGGAAAAACAAATACCTCATTTAATGGAGAATTTAAGCATGGAAAAACAAATGCCTCATTAAAATCCCTAGATTTATCCTTTGATTCAAGTTAATTTTGGGATTACATGACAAAGAAATGTCAAAAATTCTAATATGTCATGTTTCTATGTGTATCATTTTTCAGAAAGTGTTATAAATTGAGCTGTTGAGCATTCCATACTTACATTTCTCATGAAGATTCCCACCTGTCCCCCTCCCTCATGTGCATTATATCATGTACTAGGGGTCAAACATAAAGTAACTTAAATATTTCTTTAATTCTCCAACATTAACTAATCATAGTGCTTCCACGCTGTTGTAGTCCCAAATCCATTATTTGTGCCATACTCAAATGGGAGCTCTTCCTTTCATTTCGTGCCCACTATCTTTCTTAAATAGCATAAATTGAGTAACCCAAGAACTTATTCCTACTTGAGGCATTGCATAAATGCTTTATATCAGTTTGTTCTTTTGATTATTAAGTTATTGGTTAATTACTTCTTAATCCTTTTTCCTGGAAATGTATATTGTATTGGTACAAATTGCATCTTTTATGTTGTTGAGATAATTAGTCTAAGAAAATAAGAAAATATTCAGGGTTTGAGGTATTCTGATTGTTACTTGGGAACTCTAAATAGGTATCTGAACTATTTTTATTAGAAAATTGTGGGAGCTTTATATGGCAGTAGTTGAGTTTTTATCTCTTGACAAAATTTATATAGTTTGGGTTTTATACACTTTGAATTGAAAGGGAACATTAAAGTAATCTCCCTTAATTTAAAATTGATTTAATAGATTTGGCGTATCCTAATAAAAAAATGTGTTGTCATTCTATAAAAGCGAGCAGGAAACACTTTATGAAGCCAAACAAGGAGCAGTCAAAACAAAAACTGAAGTTTTTGTGAAATTAAATTTGGAATGCAAAGGTAGAAGACTGGACAATCTGATTTGTCTTGTTTATTTGCAACAACATTTAATAATTTGACATATTTTACTTTTAGGGGAGTGGAAGGGGCAGCTGGTCAGTAGGGGATCCGCACCCTTGACCTTGATGTTATAACACCATGCTCTTACCAACTGAGCTAACTGGCCAGCCCTTTAAATTTAAATAATTAAGGAATTACACTGCAACAGAAAGTTTTAAGAGCCTTTTACGTAACTTGATAACAATGCTATTTGAGACTGCTAAACTCTTAAAACTCCAGGACACTGGCTCTCTTCTCTTTTGGCTTCCCTCCTACTCATGTCTTGGCTACTATCCAGATCTGACAACTTTCACCCAGGAGCAAAGGGAGATTTGTCTAGTATAAGAAGGATTTTTGAGCCATCCTTGATTTTCATATCCAAATGGGCAAGAAGGAGGGGTGGCAATATCATTGTACATACTTGGGCAATGTATGTGCCACACATACACTATAACCCTTAATTTACTCATACTAGTGAATTCTGAACATCCTTTCTCAAATCTTCCTTATTGAAAGCTATAATGTAACAACTTCAAAATTAACACAAAAATTATTTTCAAATTTATGTCTAAGTAATTAATGCACAAATATCTTTACTTCTCCATTTCCAATTATATACTAAAGACCAAAGAGGTTTTGCATCTTGGCTATCAAAAACATAGAAACGGAATCTGTTAGGATGAGAATGTGGAAGTTCCAGTTTCAAGGCCTCTGCTCAGATCATTATGCTAAAGCTTTCTGAACACTGCTGTTCGTGACAATTTATTATTTATAGTGTATTTCTGCTACAGTAAATTGTGATTATTATGCTTTTAAGGGTTTTTTTAAAAGCTGTTAATTTTAGATTCTTTTAAATAAATCCATCTACCTTTATCTAAAAGACCATTTAGTATTAATATTATAATTTGAAAGACCTTTTGACAAGAATGATTTTAAAGTAAATTATATCAATGGACAATAATATTCCTTATGTATCTTGGAGATACAGAAGTTACTTTTTTAACGTTTTAAAAAATATGTACATTTACATGCCCAAAATCTTTTATACTCCTACAAATAACTATAAGATTGAATTAACTTATAATAAAAATAAAGTTTATCTTGGTCTGAAATGTTTATCTTATTCTTCTATAATTTCCATTGCTCGTTTTTGTACAGATGTTTTTTAGATATCTGTACAACTTTCACAATCTGGTTTGCCACGTTATATAAATTATTTTGCCAAATAGCTGTGCAGAAAGCAGTAAGGTCATATTAAATATAACTTATTTTATTGTAACAGTATGATTAAAAGTTTATTCTTGTTCTAATATTTCATGAAAGCTTTTAAAGTAGAATGTAGTTTATAGTTAATAACTATGATGTAAACCTATGGAACATAAAAATATGATAAATGAAATATATGAATGAGTTTCGGAGAAATCTTGAAATCCAGGCTGTACATACCTTTTATATCTTGAATTCATTAGTTTTCTTCTTCAATGTAGATAATTGTTTTTTTTTATGTCCCACAAACTACCTTAAAAAGATCTATGAAGTTGATAAATATTATAGGCCATTTAATGGTTTATTAGTAAATTTTAAGCTTAAATTAAGGAAGGAAACCCTCTTTGAAATAAACAAATGTCAAGTTGACCATTTAAATACATAGTACATTGTTTATATACTAACAGAATTGAAATTTATACCATCTTTAAACCTTACAACTTCTATAATTCATATTGAGAAAGCCCTAGTTGATATCACTGAAATCTTGTATAGTTGAGTTCTAACAAAAATTGACTTTTATTTTTAGCTTCAGATTTTTAGATACAAAGCCTTAGTCTTTTATTTATAGATAAAAGGAAATCTGACCTTTTTGATTAAAAAATTTTGTCAGTAGCCTTTAAAAGTGCTTGTTCATCTGAGAATCCATGACAGGAGTACTCTTCCCAGTTGAGTTTATCCTAAAAATGAAAAGATGAGAGCCTACTGGTTGTTATCCAAGATTTTTCTTAATGGACGAATCACATGGTTATTCTTCATCTCCCACTTGTTCTCACCCTTTACTACCAACCCAGCCACACCCCACCCTCACAACAATATTGTTCAGTACTCAGCACAATGAATCATTTTCAAGTTGACTCATTGTGAACTGTCTCCCAGCTGTTGGAATGTCTGGCAGACATTTTTGTTTGGGTGAAGAATAACTGGCTGAAACCCAACCTGGATGAGTTTGATATAATGGTCTTTGGCTAAAGAAATATTGCGAGGAACATGTTTATGGCCTCTGAAGCCCCTGTTATTCCTGGAGTTGGACCATCCCCTGTGGCAGAGAACTGAAAGTAAAGAATCAATCTGGATTATTTTCTCACCAATGAATGAAAAATTGCCTTAGGAAATAATAGTCATTTCCAAATTATGTTTGTTTTTCCATACTTAGTGTACCCTGGTGATTGAAAGTATTAAAGACAATTAAGGATAATTATTTTTACTGGTTCTTTTGAAGAGGCCGAAACACTTTATATAACCATATTCATTCTTATGGAGGAATTTCACATACTGCTCTAAATTTGAGTTAACCAGTCATTTCAGTAGAATGTTTGGTGACACAAGCTACTACTTATTTTATACTGAGTCAGTTAACATTGACCAGCCCTCTCTTATTTTTCATTCTTATGCAGTCTTCATAATGGGACCCAAGAAACAGAGGAATACCAGTAAGCTCAGTAGTCAATCATGTTTTCAGAAAATGAAAATCTTTGTTTATTTGGCCTCTTCTTTAACAGGGAGAGTAGCATCAAACTGATAAATGTTCTTGACTGTTTTACATTTCCCATTCTTTTCTTTTAAACTGGTGGGCATTACCAATGTATAAAATGGGAGTTTCAAAATTACAAAATTTTACAAACAAAAATTTTTCAACTTATCTCTGTCTTCAGAAAAAATGTTCTAAGGTGTTATAGCACATAATAGGTTTTCTGATGTACCACCCTTTCAGGAGCTAAAAGGAATATTGAATTTCCATTAAATAAAATAATTCAAAAAAAAGTTACTGGGTATTTGATGATTATATTTTTATAGCCATGAAATTATGGGTATTTTAGAAATATTTTCTACTTGATAACTGGACATACTATATTTGGAAACATATTAATGTATTTTAGTTTTAATCTGGAAAAAATGTGACGTTCCTAAGATGTATTGTTTAGCAGTATTTCAGGTTGTGTTGGAAAATAAGGTATAGGCTACTAGTCTAAGTGCTAGTCTTCTACCGTCTTTTCTTTGCTTTTATTGTTATCCCAGAGCCAAATGGCAGCATCTGGAAAGAGAAAACAGAAGACTGCAGAGCTAGCCATGTTGCAGCCTCTTAGCTAGACCCTTCCATGTTTCTAATATGTCACGGAGGACCTCAGCTGTTATAGGACTGGGACCTAGTCCCAGCTGACAGGCGACAGTGGGACCCTTGACTTATGTTATCCTGTACCATTTATTGGTTCTGAATCCTGGTGTCTGCCAGATTTTCCAATAGGCAAGGGGTGAAGTAATTTAAAAAATAATAGAATATGAGCATAAAGGTAGCCTTGCCCCTTAAAACAATGACAGATAATCGATTTATGTTTTCTATAAAAACTAATCAATTTATGTTTTCTTCCAACTAACATTCCCCCTTCCCTCAGCTTTTTGAATTAGAATAGCATACCTACATAAGTCAGAATTTTTCAATTAAGGGTATATTTCCACCCAATTTTCAGCCTGTAGAAGTTTTAATTTTTAAGTTATTTCTCTGTTAATAATCTATCTTCACAACAATTTGTCATTGAGATGGCATAGTGGCACTGTATAGATGTTATATTTTTAAACATAACATGAGTGTTTTATTTCCATGTTTTGCAGAACAAAGGAGTTATTGCTCGTGTTACAAACTTGTCAGATACAGTAGTTGGTCTGGAATCATTTATTGGTTCTGAGAGAGAAACTAACCCATTATATAAGGATTATCATGGTAAGCATCACCTATATAATGAGAGGAGCATGCCCTGGCTGCTTCTAGGGTACCTGGAAGCATCCTGTCCAGTCAGAATATCTACTGTTAAGTAGCATGAATTTTATTCTATAACATGTCTGTTAAATGTTTTCTGTTCCTGGCCAATCTTCCTTGGCAGTTTATCACCAAACTGCATCAAGGCTACTGACCATGATAATTGTTTGAAAGGAGTCAAACCCAAGTACCAAGGCATGGCTCAGTCAGATGTAGAATGGCACTTCAAAAATCTTTCTATGAACTTTTTGAAGTACCCTCATACATTTTGTTGTCCCAGTGGCTTAAAGTTTACATGAAATCAGTCATACTTATTAGACATGTTTGACATAAATATCATGTTAATTCTAATAATAAGAGCTTGGGATAGCAGTTTATATTTTACAAAACTTAGCTGTATGATAATAAAATACATACATTATTATATTTAAAAATTCTTAGTCAATCACATTTTCAAAAACTGAACGTCTTTGATTAAATTTGTACCTTTCTCTGTTTACTCATTTTGTTATTAGTTTTGAGTTATGAAGAAATTTTAAAATATTGCCACCCTAGTATAAATACAGGGAAATTCATCAGACTTTTAACTTTTTTTTTTATTGTATTTTAGTCACTTGGTTAATTTGGGGATTTTTTTTTAATAAAGAACCATATGTTTTTTTAACAAAGAACCATTTGAATAGTAAATGTTTAGCAGTTATGTGTATTTTAGGTCTCAGCTGAATATGTAATGTAATGAATAGCAAATTTTTACCTATTTACTTATTCTGAGTATGTATTAATTATTGCCATTATTATTGTGGAACACTTATACTTCCATGGAAACTTATGCTCTAAAGAGTTACTAGCTTATATGAAGCCTGCTACAAGATGGTTTAAAACTGTGATTATGTGAGACTGTGGCAGGTTTTTTATTGGTTTACATACTAAAAAAGGATTAAAACTTGTAAGATACTTTATATGATAATTGGCCAGTGCTTTGAGGAGTCAGCATACAACCTTTAAAAAAATAATAAAATAGGATAAGTTAACAATCAGGTATTTTTTTCAAAGGCTAGAAATGTAAGTTGTGAGCAAAAGCTACTGTAAAATAATTTGCCCCCAACCATTTACTTGCATAATTGTGCATATGGTATATGCCAAGGTTAACACTATAGATAACTCATTTAATATATATTTTCATTATGATAAGAAGAGATCTACTAAGATTTAACTATTTCTTTAATTTATTACTATTTCCATTTTTTAAAACAATTCATTTGAGCATTACCTTAATAAATTATATAGAGAGTATCACTTATAGGTTTATGAGCTTATGAATGTAGTTAAAAATTATCTTAATAATTCATTAATTTAATTAATAAGCTTGAAAATATTAGATTAATTAAAATAATTAAAATATTCGATTAAAGTAATAAATCTGAAAAATATTATTTTGATTAAAAGATTTTAAAGGTTAAAAGTCTATGATTCTTTGTGCCAAAATCTCCAAATTGATAAATTGTTCCCCACAGAGTTATGCTTGGTTCTGATGACTAGTAAACTTTCTGTTAATAAGAAGGATCTGATGATGAAATTATTCATTTATTCTGTAAGGCCTCTTGATGTAATTGTTAGCTAAACAAGCACAAGTAAGGTTAAAATGAGAAATGTGCAAATAAGAGTATAGTGTGCTTATTTCTAATAAACATATTTTGTTAAATAGCTATGTATGAGATATTTTTAATTTATAGATAAAACCTGTCTTCTTGGTACACCTTTTACAATTTGTTTTAAGTTTAAAAAATTAAGACAGATATTTTAGTGAATTATTTTTGAAGGGCTGTTTTTAAAGTTAAGTACCTGGAGGTTTACACTTTTAAGCTAAAACTAACACATACATTACTAAGCATTCAAACATAACACACAAAACCTTGTACTAGAGAAGCAGTTCTATAAATAAGATTTATCTATTTGTTCAAATCTGGAATTTGCCTTTTCTACTCATGTTTAGGGATCAATGTCCTTCGGATGGTGATTTTTAAATATGAGCTGAGTCAGGCAGAAAGATGCACTGAAGAAACTTCCATGTCTTCATCTGTGGGAAATGACCCCTAGTTTAGTCAGAAACTACATTAGGCTGCACAAAAGCCATCCAGTGCCCTTGTCAGAAAAAATTAGCAAGTGTTTCTACTGACAAGAGGCCAAAGCTCACGGTTTACCTAGCACTGTTGCAAAGCTTATAACAGCTTCATAAAGGTCTAACATGCCATAGAAATGAGTGTCTTGGGATGGCATAGGGGTTAATGTTCGATCCTAGAGTGTGCTCTGATATGTAGTTTTCTTCAGTGGTTTTTTCAAGTTATTAATAAGGTACAAAATGAAATACTTTTCATTAGTGCTTCACTGGTTATCAGTAACCCATAAGCCTTGTTTTGCTGGCTGCTTACTGGTGCATTTAATAAAATAAAGATCACTCAGTGGTGCCGTGGGCAGCATGCAAGGTGATAGCCATATTTGCTTACTGTAAATACAAGAGAAAATCACACACAAACCGGCTGTAGTTTTGACAAGTATTAAGATCCCTCTTTACATCTGTACTTCTGTATCAAAGTGCAATTAGTTTTCCTCGCACAAGGATTTCTGTTTATCTTATTCTGCTTGATTACTTGAGTATAATCACACCATTTGCTTCATTGCTCCTGGTAGTAAGCTCCAGTTTTAAAAGGGGAGGATGCTTGTGTGTAAATTTACAGGATTCTGCTGTAAGACTCTTTAATTTATGCATCTGATGACAGCATTTTAAATTTTTTTCTTTTAATTTTTTATCCACAAGGTTTGATTCATATACGGCAGATTCCTCGGCTTAATAACTTGATTTGTGATGAATCAGACGTCAAAGACTTAGCTTTTAAATTAAAAAGGAAGCTATTCACCATTGAGGTAAGAGAATTTTTATGTTTTAGTTTACAGACTTGAGGTATATAATATCTCCTTTTTTTTTTCTTTTAATGAAATTCTTAGGACATGCTTCATGCTAAATATTTTTAAGTTCTTTTGTTGTAAGGAATAATTTTTAGACTATTATTTTAATGGTATATCATTTGAGTATAGCAAAAATGATTTTGTTTTAAATGTCTATTACAAGTAAGCTCCAAACTTACGATAAGTGTGACGTCCATATTTCCAAGGCTTTCAAAAGCATATTTAATTAAATGTTAATGAGCTGTGCTTACGTGGGCGTGGAATGTGAATGCTACCCACAATTGTGTATGGCTGTGAAAAAAGGATTCTTATCCGCATTCTAAAAGCATTTTTCTTTACTATTAGTGAAATTACCTTTCGCTGTCCACGCTGAATTAAACAAAGTATAATTTAAACTAGCGTCTTTAAGTAACTACAGCATGTAAACTTTTTTTGCAACCGTTATGCAAGCAATGGTGACAGAAAGTAGTAGTACAAAAGATTTATTTCAACTTAAATCTTGCTAAAGAGCAAATGAACTTGGAACTATTAAGCAATTAGAGCTGATGTATTTATTAACGAAATAAATGCTCAGAGAGAGATGGCTTTTGAGTGATGTGATAGTTATCAGTATAGTCCATGCATTTTTTTTTTTTTCAACAAAGACATAAAACAGCCAAGCAGCCTTGACAAACCATTTTGTTTAATCTCTTTTCAAATGAAAAGCTCTTAAGCAGGCCACTTGTCTTAACTGCTTGAAACCATAAAAAGAGAGAATTGCCACCAATAAATTAGCATATTTTTAACTTCATCACACCAAATGATGGTCAAATTGGCTTGGCACTGCTTTGGTGTTTGGGACTTCACCCTTAAGTGACCATTTTGGCCCTTTTTTGACCCTCTGCCCTCTTTAAGCTGGCCACTTGATAAGGTAACTTAATGGTTCTCTCTCTTTTTCTCTTTCCCTTCACATTTGCAAGTAGCACTAATCTATAAATCATTGTAAAGGCCCTATCCAGTGACGAATTAATGTGCCCTCCTCCTAATTAATGGTCATCAATGTCCTTAATTATCTAATCCTATTGAGAGCAGTTAATAGTTAATCAGGCAGCCAGATCTTCAAGCAGGTCATCTCTGCAGGAGTGTTAGAAGTTTCTCATCTGGGGATACTCCCTTCAAAAGCCACTTAAAGCCAAAAGAGTGAGAGTGTAGAAATGGTGATTCTTGAGCTAATTTGCTTTTTAGTTCTCAAAAGAAACTATTGAAATGAAACCCAACACTGTAATTGTTCAAACATTGTTTCAGTTTTTCTGACAAAATGCCATACCATTGGTTAAAACTTTTAGAGGGATAAAGTTATAGTTTAGTGGCACAAGGAAAGTATGCTTATTACTTTCATTTAAGTCGAACTGATATTTTTAATGCAAGGTGTAAGAGGTTTTTTTTCTCCACGTGGCAACTTTTTCCCGAAATCAGTATTCTGACACCCAGGTCTAAGCTAACATTTCTATTACCATACAAATCTAAGCAAGGCGATTCTCTTGCAAAAAAATATTGTGACCAGAGAAGAAAATAGTACTGTAGTGTGAATCATGTTGTGATCTCTCTCTTTCTGTGTCTCCCATTGGGTTTTATTGGGGGCTGTGGTGGGGATGGGGGAGAAATAAAAGATTTACATAATATCAGTTGGAACCTCTCCTTTGAATAACTTTAGCTTCTGATAGTGACTAGACTTTACCATTAGAGCTGATGAAAGATCATTTATTAACCACACAGGTTTCTGTTCCATTTTCTCTCTTTTTCCCACTATGCTAAGCTAAGAGAACCATTATAATTTGTCATTTTGCAGTTTGGAAAAAATGTTTGAGAACAAAACACAGATAGACATTCATTTTTTTAAAAGCTGATATTCAATACAGTTGATCAAATCCTGTACTTTTCTGGCTTATAACCTAATCAGTAAGGGTTTTTTTTTTTTAGAAATATAGGTGAAACACATACTAAATAACTTATTTACTTGTGCCATAATATTAGATTTGGTGATTAGAAAAAATATAAATTAAGGAATCAAACAAATCTAATAGAAGTACTTGTAGGTGTAATTGAAGCAGAATAAAATCATTTGGTTCACCAAAGATTAAATGCTTTCAATATAGCATTCTGTACTAATGCATATCCAAATACATAGCAAGTCTTTGGTGATATATGATAGAAACTAGAAACAAGAATAGGAATGACCTGAATATAATTAGTTCAAGGATTCCTTTATACAGGGAAAAAAACATCTATCATGTTTTAATATAAGCAACAAATAAATATTTTTTAATGATGACCTGATATTATAAAAAAATAAAATGTATACTGTAGTAGTCTGTAAAGTCTGAGACTATACTATACCAGCCATCAAATCTAAGGCTTACTTTCAGAAGCAAAATGTATTTTGGCAGGTAAAACAGAAATAACTTTTCTGATTCCATGGAGGCAGCTTCATTACATGTTGGACTTTATTCTCAGTCACATGGTCTCGAAAGGGGCCATGGTTGGAAACAAGAGGCAAAAGAAGAGGCCAAGCACCCTCATCTCTGTTTTTAGGAGACCTTTTCTTTGATTTGTTTAATTGTTGCCCTTTTCATTCATGAAAACTGATTTTTTTTTTTTTTTACTAACAGCTACCAAAGTCCTCTAACAGGTAGAGCAACTTTAGTAGTCTCTAATTTCTTTTAGTGATTTGGAGAAGCCAAAAGAATATTTCTTCCTTCTTAGAGTACATAATGGTATTGTCCAGATTCAAGTGGAAGTATGTATCTAATCACAGTATATTTTTACTAATACCTATAACTATAAAGCCCTATAAAATAGGCCCTCTACAAAAACCATAGCAGAATTATATCTATACTAATGACACTAAAATCCTAGAATGCATTCTATGTAAATAAATGAGAAACTTTAAAGTTGATTTAATATGTCTTTAGGTTAAAAGAAATAGCTTTCTAATTCTTTGAAAACTGATCATTCTTATAAACTGTACATGGTAACGCTCTAGCTATTTGATTAAGCATAATATACTAATTCCTTGACCTTACCAAGCAAGATTATATAACCTCCATTCAATCATAGCAAACATTTATTGTTGTGTACTAGCCACTATACTGCTTATTTCTATTTTTATATAATGATTAAATATTTTAAACAAAGGCTTTACTAAGATGTAATAGTAGACTTAATATATAGAAACTATGTCTTTTTTATCTTCGTATTTATCCCAGAACTAAGAACAGCGTCATTTACTTAGTAGAAATAAAATATTTGCTGAAATACATATAATATAGATAAATTATGAATGGTGTTTTAAAATAGTCCAAATAATACAGCTACAAATATTATATAAGCTTCTATGGTCAAGAGACCCATACACACTGCCTTTTCAATGTAAGTGTAAGATTTATAACTTTGGTACATAGCTTCACTTCTGAGCCGAGATAACTGCTTCAACTTACATTGTTTCAGTTTCTGTAATTTTTGCTTTTCTAATGTTGGGATTATCATTAACCAGTTTTTTTTTTACATTAGTATTTATAATGTAATTATAATACATAAACAAGTAAGATTGGATAGGATTTGAAATGTGGCTGCATTTAATTTGATGACATCATAAAAGTAGCATTTTCACTTGCATTAAAGGTTATTTTGCTATTTTGATTTTGTATTTTCAGCTTTATCATATCTTAACACATTCTAGTAATATGATTTTCTAATATAAATTATAATAATGTATTATAACATCTATAGTCACAACATCTATTAAAGTTATAACAGAGTTTTCACTTTGGTAATGGGACAGTTTTCCAGCTCTAAGAGTCAGTGTTTCTAAGTTCAAATCAGAGAGTACGGTAACTGGGTTTTACTAAAATATACAAAAGACATATACTGTTTACTACAAACTTTTAATACAAGGATAAATAGTACTTACATATACTTTAATTGGTCCAAAAGTAATAATTATTGTAAACAGTATATCTTTGTGGGTCTTATAGAATAAATGAATATTGAGAGTGGAGAATGTCAAAGTAAATTAAGTTTGCTCAAAGTTATCTTATCTTACTTTGCCCCTAATTCAGAATACAGGACCTCAGTACCTCTCCAGTCACCAAGAACTTTTTCTCAGAAAATAATTGACCAATAAGTTTTTATTAAGTAGCCTAATAATTTTATGCACTTCCTTAATAGATTCATTCTTATTAATAACAGAATAGTAGGTGTCATCAGTATAAATTAGCTTTATAATCATACTACAATATAACTCGATATGATCCATTAGAATTATTTGAAATATATACATATTGGAAAAGCAAAAACTCTTCCAAACTACAAGGGTGCTAGTCACTATGATGTTTAACAGTTTGGAATGTTACATGAAAACTTTGGTCCTAGGTTTACCTCCTTCACTACATTTACTTTCAACAGGCTTTCCAATTTTTAAATAAGTAGAAAGGTGAATATATGTTTACTGTCTAGAGATTGGGGGGGAGGGATAGTTAACTTGCTTATTAATTCACAACTATGTTACTAAAATAAAATAATAAAAACATAAATGTCTGACTTAGAAGCCTTAAGTGTGGCATCTTCGGCCATATAGTCCAATATACCATTTGTCATAATGATGCCCTCCACAAATATTGGTATTGGTTGCTACTTCAATTAGCTTTTGTTCTTTTATACTGCAGTTAGCCAAAAAAAAAAAAAAAATCAAAGTTGAACCTAGGCATGTAAACTCAAATTAACATTCTTTTACAAAGGAAATATAATGTTTTACATGTTTACATTTTAATATATTCATTATATTACCATCCCCATATTTACATTTTTAATTCACAAGTGATATAGACATGCAGTAGTGTCACATAAGTTTCACAGAACGTCCAGCAGTTGGTTTAATACTTACTATACTCTATATATTTCACATGCCGTAGTGAACCTAT